AAAAAAAAAAAAGAAACTGCCTTTTACTGGGACACCACTAGTTGTGAAGGGGATATTTCACTTCATTTCTTCAACAGATTCTTTTTAAGTGCTTTATGTGAGCAGGGCACTGTGCTAGGCTCTGGGGATATTGTGCCACTCAAGACAGTCTGCACTGTAAGCTACAGTGGACTTAACACTTTAATAGGGGAGAGAGATGGTAACTAGTTACACAAGTATTTATTTCACATTGTGAAAAGTGGTATGCGAAGGAATGTGGTGCCATAAAGCATGCCCAGAGAGCATGTGTTAGGGGAATAATACTTAGTTTAGGGAAGCAAAGAAGGTTGCTCTGAAGAAGTGACATTAAAATGGAGATCTGACACAAGGCTTGGAAGTGGCTAGGTGAGAAGAAGGAGCAAATGCCATTCCATGTAGAGGGAATGACATACACAAAGGGCTGAAGACAGGGCATGTTAAAAAACTAAAAAATTGAGAGACCTCTGTGTGGAGAACATACTGAAAGGAGGAGAAAACAGATGAAGAAAATGAAAGGTGTGCATTCAAGATACGTTTCCATTCGTAGTGATGGGCATACCCAGAATTGTGCAGTTTCTCTGGTGGTCCTGCTTTGTGGCCTGTGGCTTGTGTGGGTGGTTGGCCACACACGGATGGTAGCAAGGTGGTACCATCAGTGGCCTGCACATAAAAGTATCTCCCGGGACTGTGTAAACTCTGAGGCCCCAGTCCTGGCTTCCTTAATCCTATTAGAGCTCTGATCAATTCAGCCACAGAAAATAACCATCTGCAATTTCTCTTATATTTCACTGGACATTCAATCTTGTGAAAAATCACCTCTTGAGTGTTAGGACTTGATTATTCATTTGACAAATCATCCAGACCTCTCTCTTTCTTATTCCCTCTTATCATTTGTTTGTGAACAATTTTACAGGGATCTCCACTCTGCAGTACAAAGGACAGGAGAAAAATCAAACCAAACTGATCCAATTACTTTATAGGTTGTGATACACATCTGAAGGGTAAAACCATTGACTAAAACTACAAAAAGAGAGAAAACACATCTTGATCAATGGCACTATACCAAGTGCTTTGGTACTTGGAAATATACTTTATTTCCAAATAGTGTAGAACCCCCTTTGGGGGTGGGGTGTGGAAAAAAGTTGAAACAGAAAGAAGCATAAAACTATGGTCTTAAGAGCACAAAACAATCATTTTTAAATTGATGATGATGAAACTTGGTCTGGCTATCACCTTTATATTAATTTATAGTACTATTTTTATTTGATAATAAAAGTTTTGATAGATTAAAAAAAAAAAAGATGAACCCAAGTTGTAACTGTTGAAATTACATATGGGAACACATTTTGTAAGTAACTAAGGATCTTGAAGATATACTTATGAACATACAAGTAATATAGTTCAATACCAATAAGCCCATTCATTAAAAGAGTAACAGCTTCACTAAAGAATACTCTGGCTGAAAGTAGAAAACAACAATTTATCTCTATTACTGTTCTTCGATATAGCTAGTTCAAAGTACAATAGAGCACCACTAATATTCTAACATAGTAATGTGGTTATTGGCTGTGATTACCGTCCTAAGCTTCTATGGTCATCTAGCAGCAGAATCTATTTCTGTCTGCCCATGACCGTGGCACTGAGACAGTCTCTCACCTCAATTGCGCTGGTATACTGCTCCAGTCTGCTGTCAATCTTAGACACAACTGCTGCTTGGTGAGTCGATTTGACACCACTGCTAAGTGAATAAACACACACACACATGCATAAAAATACAAGAGAGAATCTTTCCTTACATATAGAACAGCTGATGATTCTCATTGAACAATCAATCACATTTACCTTTTCTGCACAGACTTATTCAAAAATTCTGCTCGCTCTTCTATCTAGGAATTGAAAAAACAAACAAACAAACAAACCCTAGTTAATATTTGCAGCTTATAAACGATGTTTCTCGGCCCATGCCACTGGGCGAGTAAAAGCTTCAGAGAGTGTGCAGGGGTAATAGGATTCTGAGCCCAGCAACTCTGCTCCATGGTAAAGTACTTAGGAGGTATTTGAGGTGAGATTTGGAGGGGACAAACATAGGACTGGGCAGATGATAGAGAAAGTGTGGAGAAATACAAAGTTCTGGAGGTAAATTAAAGACCAGACAGAAATGGAATAACAAAGCCTCTGAAACAATGTAAATTAGTGGCAAAGTAATTACGTTTCAAGACAAAAACTTTTTTTTCTTTCAAAAGCACTTGCTGTTACCCTTTAGGATTTATTTATACGTACAGATATACCATGTTATTTGATGAGCAAAATTCTCCCACCATGTTTTAACACATATTACGTGTGTAATAGGATCGAATAAGAAAGGTAACTAGGAACTCCGAACTATTCACTTACTGCTTAGCCTGGTTTCTTAACTTGACAGCTGTCCAGCCTACTGCTGAGCCTAATTTGTCTTGAATATAGAAGATGGGGAAGGGGCTGGATTGAGACTGGGGCACAGCTCCTCAGGGCTGAGGCCTCTCATGAAACCCTGTTAGCCCAAGTGGGAATTATGGAAATAAGCCTGGAAAAACTGATGAAATGGTAAGTTCGGTGGTCTTTAACAAATTCCTTTTTCTCTTTAAAGCTAGGAAATTCCTTTTTGCTAAAACTAAAGCCACTAAGTCAAACATTTTGGTTTACTGAAACTATATCATCAAATCAGATGTTCTATGTAAGTCAGCAATTATCTGTTGACTCCTTATGATACCCAACTCCAGGGTAGCAATATCCTCTGTCATTCACCACCTATCAAAGTCAGCACATGGTAAAACCTTTGTATATGACTGCCTATGCCAAAGCACACATGTGCTGAAGGAGTCCATTTTCTGTCCTGTTCAGGACAGCCAAGGAATCTGCTAGACTTCAGTTACCCTAGACTGGTGTGGTTGAGTGTGCCTTAGAGTCTTCTGAGATGTTAGTGGCTCTTTCTGGCCTGGACTGTCCTGGGACTTATGGACTATTAATAAACACCCTTAGGCTTTTTGGAAAACATGCTTCACTTCTAATATCAGTTGAATAACATTTTTATAGAGGTTAGTGGTGGGGGGGGGAGTCTCATTATTTCCAATGATTTCTTATAATGATAAAAGCAAACTCATTAAAAATAAAACTTGTTGCAAAAAAAGTGCTATCAGTAGCCCTGAGTTTGTGGGATGCGAAGTGTCTTCAATCTTATTTACCTGATTTTAATATAAACTTAGAAGTGCACCCCTGGAGGCGCCTGGGTGGCGCAGTCGGTTAAGCGTCCGACTTCAGCCAGGTCACGATCTCGCAGTTCGTGAGTTCGAGCCCCGCGTCAGGCTCTGGGCTGATGGCTCGGAGCCTGGAGCCTGTTTCCGATTCTGTGTCTCCCTCTCTCTCTGCCCCTCCCCCGTTCATGCTCTGTCTCTCTCTGTCCCAAAAATAAATAAAAAATGTTGAAAAAAAAAAAAATTAAAAAAAAAAAAAAAAAAAAAAAAAAAAAAGAAGTGCACCCCTGGAGAAAAAGTTCCCAGTTGAATAGGCGAAATACATTGAAACCATGCAATGCACTGGCACTTTTAATATTATCCATCCATCCATCCATCCATCCATCCATCCATCCAACCATCTTTTAACCCTACCAGCCTGTCAGCTAAGTAACTAAGCAATAAATTATATACTGAGTACCCACTGGATAAAATTGAACACTTGACAATGTATGAGACAGTATCCCTTTCTTTAAGGAGAACACAGTCAGTAGCGAAGACTAACAGAACATATGAATGAAATACTGAACATTCAAGTGATAGGTACCAAGTAAAGATAAGAAGAAAATGCTGGGGCCATAGGAGAAGTGAGTTTCTGGGGTTGGTGGAGAAGATATGCAGTAGGTTTGATTCGGAGCTGAGATTTTTAGTTTACAGTTGACACAGTTTTATCAGTGAGTTTGTAGAAGTGAGGGTGCGTGAGGTACAGGGGATAGGACATTTGTTGCGGAGCAAACCCATGCACAAAGATTTGGGGAACACACACAGAGGAGGGGGGATGGAGGAATGAAACACATAGTGAAGGCCGGAGGCATGAGTAAGGGGAAGCAGAGGTGAGACTTGCTCTTTGTAGCACTTCCAGCATCCTTCCGACTCCGGGATGAGCTTTTGACCTCGGCTATCCCATTAATTCAAATTACAGAGATTCTCGGAAGCCAACATCTCCTTTTGTATCTACGGTATTTAATATAGCTTGACTTCATTACTGCATTTTGTCAGGGCTAACCATGCACTTATGGGTGCATTCCTATTGGAAAATTCCTTAACTTGGTTAATCTAGACAATGTAACAATGTGTACTGGATTTACACTACACAAATTTCTGTACTTTAACAACAGGAGTTGGTTCTTCTGAAGACCGAGAGGTGGCGGTGTTGTCCTGATGAAACTCGGGAGAAAAGCATGCTATTCATTTTCTAAAATTGGCTCTCTCCTTCCTCTACACCCCTTTCACCACCAAAATATGGAAACAACAACAATAAAAACCCAATTTTATATTTAATTTACTTAAAATTTGTTCTGTGCATGGATTATGTAAGAAAAATAATTCACTGCTAACAAAATTTAACTGTGCGAAACCAGGTTCAGTTTCCCAGACAAAGGAATAGAAGGAGTCATGAGAACTTAACAAAATACATGAGTTGATAATATTTTGAGGTCAGATAGCAAATGTTTTCCCTTGCATTGGCATGCTACAATGTTAACTTACAACCACTTACAAAAGTCGCAGGGCCAAGAGTAGCAACAATGGTAGGAATTCAATGGTAGCATATGAAATTGAGCTCTAAAACCAGAGCCACAGCAAATTCTTCAAGGCACATACTATGGAGAAAAGCAATAGATTGTCTGTTCCTGAAAGCGTGTCTCTGTTATACAGAAATTTAAAAATGTTTTGTTTCTTTTTAACATAAATACTTTGATTGCTCACACATGCTTCTCCAGCGGAGGGGGCAGATGAATGGCCTCCTGGGAGACTATGAAATGGGAAGCCAGGAGTCTGGTTGAGGAAAAGACCAGAGAAATTAAGTAAGTTGAAGAATTTAGTCGAGAGGAGATATTTGAAGGAAGATGGACTGTAGTTTCTCCTGCAAATAGGAAGAATAGAAATTAAAAGTATAGATGTTCCTCTACTTTCTTCATGTCACCAAGATTGTTCAAGGAAAGTTTAGCTTGGGTGAGATTTCAAGGAAGATAGAAGGATCTTTGATTATTGATGAAGCAGGAACACAAGGACCCAGACTTGGAACACAACAAACTCTGGTCATTGCATGGAGATAGCCTGAACTGAGTGGATTTTGTGTGTGTGTGTGTGTGTGTGTATGTGTGTTTTGTTTTGCCTTTCTGTTCTTTCCTCTATAGTGGGGATCTGCAAACTACAGCCCATGTGCCCATGGGTCTTATGCAGGCCATGGTTTTCACATGGCACTCAAGCTAAGAATGAGTTTTATGTTGTTAAATGGTTTTAAGATCCAAAAGAAGAATATTTTATGACATAGGAAAATTTTATGACATCCAAATTTCTTTTTATTTATTTATTTTTGAGAGAGAGAGAGAGCAAGCAGAGGAGGGGCAGAGAGAGAGGGAGACAGAATCCCAAGCAGGCTCCAGGCTGTCAACGCAGAGCCCAAACTCACAAACGGTGAGATCATGACCTAAGCCGAAATCAAGAGTCAGACACTTAACCCATTGAGCCACCCAGGCACCCCTGAAATCCAAATCTCAGTGTGCATGAATAAAGCTCCTCTACTCCACAAAGCTTCCCTCTACTGACTTTGCTCAGTTCTAAGATCTCACTGTGCCGGTAGTCTGCATTTAGTTACCCGGTAATCCTTGGATTCCCCAGAGCAGTCGACTGTGTTAATGCCACAGGGGCAGCGACCTTGCTTTGTACTTCTCTCCCTCATAGTACCTAGCATACATCGGGTACATTATAAATAGCAACTATTAAACAATAAAATCCCCCAGTGGCTTAGTTCGGATTCCCCCCTGAAGCAGATCCTGAGAACAGAGGGTTTGAGTACACGGAGTTCATTAGGGAAGTGGCAGGGTATGACTGGGGCCCAGATGATCAAAAAGACTCAGTGAAGTTCCTTAGGGATCAAACATGCTGATTTTCCTGTGAAACAGGTAATAGGTATAAAATGTAAGTAACTGGCTTTTGGACATTTTAGTGGGCCACATGAGGTGACCTCACACACACAATTATAGACACACACATGCACATACTTAACCAGCTGGAGGCTGGCTATGAGTCTCTCCTGGTTTTGCCCATCGTCAATGCTTTGTAGCCTTGCTATGTTGATGGAAAATGAAGGTGAAGCGAAAGCGTTAAAAGTTCCAATCTCTGAAGATTCATTCATTCATTTTTTCATTCAACAAATGACTATCTTCACTGTGCCAGGTGCTCAGTACATGTTTTTAACTCTCAAAACAAAAGACATATATTTGAAAATAATGGCAGATTGAGCGTAAGTAATAGATAGCACTTTCTTGCTTCTGTTCTCTTTGCTCTGCATGTCAACCCTTCCACCATGTCCTTGACTGGGCTCCCTTCTGCTTGTTCTCTTTTCTCCCACTTCCGGCAAGTGGGAGCTGTGCTCCTTGAAGGCAGCGATGGGACCAGACTCATCCTGGCAAAGGACCCTATCCGAGGCACACTTCATTTCCTCCTGTGATAACGGCTTTCAAATTTGACCAGTACCCCTTCCAGCTGCCCTACTTTTAACAATGACAAATTAAAAATGAAAAGCAGCCTTTATAATACGGTTGCCCACTCGGTGAACTTTAAATGTTTCCATTTTCAATTGCTCACAGCAATGAGGCCTCCGGAGGGCACAGGTCAGTGAAATCTAGAGATAATCGCTGAATGTCACTTTAACACACACCAAAGCATCTAAGAAACAACAGATACCAATTTCTCCACCTCACTTCTCTCCTTCCCTCACGTTGCCAACAATGGTAAGCTGTGAAAAGGCTGAAAGAAGGAGCAGAAAGGTCAGTGAAGCAGAGGCTCCACATGATGAAGAGCCAAGTAAGGGGCTGAGGTCAGGTTTCCATCACATTATGACAGAGGTGTGATGAGAAATCTTTCTGGGAGAAAAAAAATACCTTGAGAGATGAACCTTTGGGGGTGAAACATTTGAATGGCTTCTTGTCATCTGATAAGCTGTCTTCTGGCATCTTCTGACGTCTCTCAGCAGCTTCTGCCCTCCGCTTTTCAATCTCTTCCCTTAGCCTCCTCTTCTCTTCCTGAGACAGGAGAACAAATAACACGGACATCGATATCAGCTTCCAGCCCGAAGGAAAAGAGGGCTGTAGGGGAAGGAGCACTGGTGCCGCAGGGGAAAGAGCGGGCTTCTGGACTGCAGGCCACCCCCTCCTCCAGGGTGGTCGCCAGAGATGGAGCCTGAGCCCGTGAGTCCACCTGCCTGACACTCTGGCACGGCCACTTCCCAACTGTGTGACCTTGGCCGCGTTACTCATCTGTTCAATGCCTCGGTTTTTCATCTGTGAGATGGGGATAATGATAGCTTTAGCAAGGGCTAAATGAGAAAGCCCATGTAAAATTCCTAGGATCAGTGTGAAGCTGGTCCTTATCATTATCATCCTGTCGGGGCATTTGCCACTGACCTTCTGTTTCTGGATATATAAGATAAATGTATGTCCCTTCCACCTCCTTCTGAGGAGAGTTGTGAAGACGGATGAGACAGCTGGTGGGCAAAGTTTATGTTAAATCTAGAGTATTATGTTCAAACTGTACAAGAGATAATTTTATGGTTGTCTCCACCTCCACGGAGTAGATTATTATAGATGGTTTGACAAACCTGAAATACATAGACACTGCACCAAAGCAGTCACAGATGTTCACCCTAGGTGTCCTACTAGCCCCTCTGTGCCTTAATTCCTGGTCTGCAATACTCTCCCCTGTCTCCTCTCTCAGGCAAAACATTCAGAGCTCCGATCCAGTTGCACATCCTCTATGAACGGTTTACTGAGAGATGTGTGTAGTTTTTTGTAGTTTTTAAACTGTAGGTTCCCAAGCAGAGATTGGATGTTCGTCTGTCAGAGGATGTGGCAGAAGGATCCTCTGTGTTATGGGCTGAATGTTTGAGGTTCCCCCCTCCTCCACTGCCATTCATACATTAACGTCCTAACCCCCAGAGTGACAGTTTAGGAGGTGGGGCCTTTGGGAGGTGTTTAGATCTTGAGAATGAAGTCTTCATGAATGGCACTAAGAGAGGCCCCAGAGAGCTCTCTTCCCCTTTCTGCCAAATGAGGACACAGTGGGAAGACCATGGTCTATGAAATGGTAAGACACAGAATTGTTGACGCCTTGATCTTGAACTCCCCAACCTCCAGAACTGTGAGAATTAAATCTCTGTTGTTTGTAGGCCACACAATCTGTGATTGTGGTTCCACTGACTAAGACACTGTTTGGCAGGAGGTTAGACCAAATAATCTTCTAGGTCCAAACCAATTCTAAGAGCAAGTGTTTCCCTTCTGCCTTCGTTGACACTCTGCTCCCCTAAATAACAAATAATGACAATGTTAACAATAATTATAACTAGCAGGCACCACGAACACAATTATCTGTTTGATCATGGCATCAATCCTGTAACGACATTATTTCCCAGATAAGGCAAAGAAGTTTTAGCACAGTCCAGGAACTCTGCCAAGGTCCCAGCTTGCAAGTGGCAGAAAATATAAGCCCAGGTATGCTTGATTCTAAAGAGCTATCATCCCAATTACTTCCCAAACAAAGGCAACTGACCCATTGAGAGCTGGAGTTGGAAGAGACCTTGGAATAATTTATCCAGACTTTCCACACAGGTTAGGGAATTTTTGCAAAGGATCCAGTCAGAAAGCCATCTGCTGTCTTTGTGCATAGTTGGATCGACGGAAGGTCACTATCTTCTAAGATTAGAGGGCAAAGCTCTAAGCTCATTTGGAGAATCGAGGTCTCAATCCTGATTCTACCATTTATTAGTCAAGTAACACATAAGTCACTCAAATAATTTGATTCCCTTTTGTTTATCCATAAAACGGGAATAATGATGTACCTCAGGATGAAAGGAAAGAATGCACCTTGTAAAGCTGTAGTTGGTTAAGCACTTTTTCAGTTTTCAAAATTTGCCTTCTGTAACTTTATCTGTTGTTTTCAGTTCTGTCTTAAGAGACGGAACATATTCATCTGTTCGTAATTACCGGGCTCCTGCTCTATGCCTGGCACTGTGTTGGGTCCTGGGTTTACAGTAATGAACAAAGCAGATACTGTCCCTGCTTCTGACCACTTCGTCTCCTTATTCTTCCATTAAAAAAAAAAGCAAAGCTACTTAAAAAAATCTTCTCTATAAAAACCCTGCCAATATCAGAAAACAACTATCATGTGACTCTCAGATCTTATAACGAATCTGCAGACCTTTTCAGCCTCCTCTGCTTGCTGTTCTTTATTGAGAGACAGTAGAGGGGAATGGGTTAAGGTAAATGGGACCATAGAAAATGACAAAACCGCTCTGTGCCTCGGTTTCCTCGTCTGAAAAATGGTGTAATAAGACTACTCACGTCAGAAAGTTCTTACAATTGGATAAAGACTACTATGTGTAAAGGGTTTAGAACTGTGCCTAATGCACGGTGAGTTTATTATTCTTAAAATGTATTTGTAAGAGTCCATGCAGCAGCACTGCACCAGCGAAAACATTATTCCCCGGGCTACAAGGGTCGCCACACGCGGACTGCGGGCTTGGCTAAGCTGCGCCCTCCTCACCTCCTCTCGGACTTTTCTCTCTGCTTCCTCCTGCTTCCGCCTCTGCTCTTCCTCCTCTAGGACCTTTCTTCGCTCTTCCCGCTTCTTCTTCAGCTCCTCCAGCTCCAGGGCTGCCTCCTGCTGTTTCTGTTTGAGCTTCTCGAACTCCTCGCTCTCAGTTTCCCCGCGGCGGCGGCGAAGCTCCTCCAGGCGCTTGCCGGCTTCCACCTGCGAAGTGCCTTCGGCCTCCTTGGCCTCGCTCACCTTCGCTCCTGCTCCCGGGCGGCTGTCCGGAAACGAAAAGGAGTTTGATAAATGTCAGTTGGGCAGCCTCCCGGGAGGGATGTCGTCTGCAGGCTTTGCACCCCAGACCAAAAGAAATCTCCACTGCCGGTCGTTGGTAGTCGTTGGACAGTGGATGTTCACACCCGCCCCAAGGGTAGGTTGGGGTCCGCCTGAAGTCTCAAGGTCTGAATCTGATCCCTTTCTACCACTTACCCTTGGTGTCCTGTTGTACAAAGGGGCAAACAGACGCTGATGGTGGGAAAATGGCAAATGGACAATGGGCAAAACAACGCAACCGCTACGGAAAACAGTAGGGAGGTTCCTTAAAAGCTTAACAGTAAAACTACCATATAGTCCAACAGTCCCATTGAGTATATACCCAAAAGATCTTGAAAAGATCTCACATACCCTTGTTCATAGCGGTATTATTCACAACAGCCAAGAGGGGGAGCAACCCACATGTCCATCAACAAATGAAAAAACAAACAGAAAGTGGTGCATACATACAGTGTACTATTATTCAGCCTTAAAAAGTAAGGGAATCCTGTCCTATGCGACAACATGGATGAACCTTAAGGATATTATACTACACGAAATAAACCAGTCCCCAAAAGACAAATGTTACATAATTCCACTTATGAGTTATCTAAAGTTGTCAATTCAGGGAACCAGAAAGTAGACTGGTGCTTATCAGTGGCTGTGGGGAGGGGAGGTGGGGAGTTATTTATGGGTATAGAGTTTCAGGTCTGCAAGATGAGAAAGTTCTGGAGATGTTTCACAACACTGTGAGTGTGCTTAACACTACTGACTTGTACACTTAAATGTTAAGATGGTGGGGCGCCTGGGTGGCTCAGTCAGTTAATCGACTCTTGATTTCTGCTCAGGTCATGATGTCACAGTTTGTAAGTTCAAGCCAGGCATCGGGCTCTGTGCTGATGTGCGGGCCTGCTTGCTTGGGATTTTCTCTCTCTTCCTCTGTGCCCCGCCCCTACTTGCACACTCTCTCTCTCTCTCCCAATCTCTCAAAATAAACGAAAACATTTAAAAAATGGTTAAGATCGTAAATTTTATGTTACGTGTTTTACCGCAGTTAAAAAATAATTTTTTTAATGATGAGTGATACAACATGGAAAAAATGGGCAAATATCATTTGTTCTCTTTACCTCAGTGGGCTATTCTTTGAATCCCATGAAATTAACTATTAAATCAATGTTGATTTATGTATCATCATAAAAATTAGTTGTTACTAGGAAGGGAGGTATGTAACACAAAACACTGCTATTAGATTGAGTTCTAAAAGTCTAGGTGTGACCCTAACAGTCCTCTGCCATAAGTAACTGGTTAATTTGGGTCTGTCTGGAATCCTGGATCCAGACTGGAGACAAGAAAAGACGGCTGGAACTAGGGGAGGCACTGAAATAAAGCTGCTTTATCATCTTTGTCTTGAACTCAACTCTAGCAGCTGACAGAATTCCCCTTTGCCTCTCGATTGGGAGCTAACCACAGGCTTGTAGGTCTGTTCTGACACAGGTGCCCCCAAGAAAGCTCTGAACAACTGCATTACCTACGGCGTCAGTTTGTGTGGTCTAACATGACATGACTATTCCTAATCAGGACTTAACATTACTAAATTAGTTCTGATAGCGTGTCGTTAGGGTTGTTACTTATGCTGTGTAGACCCTTTTCATATTTATTATCTCATTTAATAGCCACAGTAACCAGGCAGTTGGCAGGTTAGGTTAATACCCCCACTTTACAAGTAAGAAAATGATACGTGAGGGCAGAAAAACAGTCTGCCCAATTTTCGGTAGCAAGTGGTACGGCCATGACCAGATTCTAGTGTTTCTCTCCCAAGTATACTCTTTTTTCCACTGTACTATAATCATATCAAGTGTTAAATAGGGTTTGTTAGAAAATAAAAAATCAACTGAATTGAATGTGCTGGCCTCCACCTTTCACCTCCTACCCTGAAGACCAGAGGGTCTGTGAGGGATTTAAGTCTCTAGAATTTCTGCAGTCTAGGCCTAACTACCTTCCAGGCTCGAGTGGAAGCAATGCTTCATCAGATGGCACAGCATATAAAACAACAAGAAAATGGGTACGTTTTTTGTGAGTTAGAAATAAAATTGAAAGTCAGTTGAAGTTGTCTTTTGGGAAGAAAAAGAATAAAGCAGAAAATGAGTTCAAGAGATTTCATTGTAGAACTGGGAACATGTTAAGACTAGAGACGGGGCACCTGGGTGGCTCTGTCGGTTAAGCATCTGATTTAGGCTCAGGTCGTGAACTTACGGTTTGTGGGTTCGAACCCCACATTGGATTCTCTGCTGTCAGCTCAGAGCCTGCTTCTGATCCTCTGTCCCCCTCTCTCTCTGTCCCTCCCCCACTTGCACTCTCTCTCTCCCTCTCTCTCTCTCTCCATAAATAAATAAATAAACAAACATTAAAAAAAGACCAGAGACAGAACATCCCAAGTGTCCTTATGTTAAAATTGTACTACAGGGGGCGCCTGAGTGGCTCAGTTGGTTAAGCCTCTGACTTCAGCTCAGGTCATGATCTCATGGTTCTTGAGTTCGAGCCCTGCATTGGGCTCTCTGCTGTCAGGGAGGAACCTGCTTGAGATTCTCTCTCTCCGTCTCTCTCTCTCTCTCTGCCCCTCCCCCACTCCTACCTCTTTCTCAAAAATAAACATTAAAAACAATAAAATGCACATCAGGACTGGTATTCCTAGTGTTTTCCCACAAATCATATAAAAAGGAGAGAGATCATTAGCCCCTACCGACTCTGAGATCCTTTGATAAATTTGCTATCTAATAGAGTTATGCCATTGATAATTGTCTCCAAAACATGTTGGTTGTGACGGAAGAACTGCATCAGAGAACCATGTTTCATGCAAAACTCACGTCAGCTGGATCCTCCGAGCACTTTATTTAGGAGAATTTAGTGCTGTGCTCAAAAGTGTGCCTAGTTACAGAGAGTCCTTACATAAGAGACAAGGACGTAGCTTGCCAGCTACTTAAGTACTCATTAACAGGCAGTGAGGTCATGCTTAACTAGCTCCGAACACAGGGAGCCCATCCCTAACACTTTGTCTAAGGAACAGATGAATTACCACCGTCTGATATAATTTATTCCATGTAGAGAAGGGCTCGGTGTTTCTAGCTATGGAGCAAGAAAAAGAATAAAGCAGAAAATGAGTTCAAGACTACATAATTGCCAATACTGATCTTATGTGTATAACTCTTGTTTTTTGAACCCTCAGGTAGTTCTGAGTATACTCTGTCCTTTCCAACCTTTGCAAGCAGCAGGATGGAAAATCAATATTGTAGATTATAATCAGCATTAAAATTAATACACAACAAAACCAAAAACATCAAAGTGTATTGCGTAGAGCAAGGGAAAGCACCATTTCTTGACATGCTCGTTTGGGTTTTAAGAATATACGTAGCTTTGTATTGGGTCATGATGTCAAATTTATTTCTGACTAAGAGTTTAGGTTAAAAAGTTTTAAAATACTGTTCTAGGTTCTTGAGAGTTAAAGATGTACTCTTTTATTTTGAACTCAAACAAAGGTTAGAGGGTCCCTTAAAACCTGATGTTGCTCTTTCAGGGTCTTATAAGTTCCTAGGTCTGTGACTTAGAGAGAAAATCTCCCCCCTGAGTTAATTCCAGGTCTTTCCATCTTCAGAAATGGGTTTGCTCTCTGTGTTCATCATGTTAGTTAGTGCACAGGAGTTGGGACCTGCAGAACACAAGCCTCTAAAAACTTCTCCAGATTCCACTAGGTGTCGCTCAGTCTTCATTTTGGACAATCAAAATGCCTATCATTAGGGACTGGTTCCATAAATCATGACACGTTGGTCTGGTGGAATACTCTAACATTATTAATTGTAAGCTCATATTCATTGGTACAGAAAAGGTAGCTACGATAAACTGTTACGTATATTGCAAGAATCAATGGAAAAACAGAGTTATATATACACACTATACATATTTGTCTATTTTGACTATATAGACATAGAAAATATTTGGAAAAAATGTTACTGGTGGTTGGTGCTTATTTTTGTACTTCTATTTTCTGAATGTTCCTAAGTTTTTTTTTAATGTTTTATTTATTTTTAAGACAGAGAGAGACAGAGCATGAGTGGGGGTGGGGCAGAGAGAGAGGGAGACATAGAATCTGAAGCAGGCTCTAGGCTCTGAGCTGTTAGCACAGGAGGTTGATCGTTTGAACTCACCTAACTGTGAGAGATCATGACCTGAGTCAAGTCGACGCTTTCAACCGACTGGAGCGCACGCGGCGCCTCTTGCTTTCTTTTGAATGTTTCGTAACGAGGATCTTTTTTCCTATAATTAGACAAAACTTAGTTACTAATGCTATTGCAATATTAGAAATAAACATATGCTCATTTCGAACTTTCTAGAAAACCTTGGTGTAATCTGCTATTTCTATACATTGCTCATTGAGTTGAGATTTTTTTTGTTAATGTCATGTTTCAGAGAAAACAATTTAGTCAAGAAAACAGGAACATCAAAGGGGGCAGTAATTAAATCAAACATGAGCTATATTCGAACCAGGAGCAAGAGTTTTGTCCATACTCAATTACTTGATACAAAATTAGCATGCCCTCAGCACTAGGGTGCCACTAACATGGAAATTTCTGCCAGAAGTTCTCTCCTCTCTCCTTGGTTCCTTTATATATATATATAAAAAAATTTTTTTTAAATGTTTATTTATTTTTGAGAGAGAGAGAGAGAGAGAGAGAGAGAGAGAGAGAGAGACAGAGCACAAGCAGGGAAGGGCAGAGAGAGGGAGACACAGAATCCAAAGTAGGCTCCAGGCTCTGAGCTGTCAGCACAGAGCCCGACATGGGCTCGAACTCACAAACAGCAAGATCATGATCTGAGCTGAAGTCCGACGCTTAACTGACTGAGTCACCCAGGCGCCCTCTCCACGGTTCCTTTAGATGTAGGTCTAGATGTACATCAAACCTTTCCCCGTGAACATAGCTTGTTTTCAGCTAGGCTAGTGGGCACTCGGCTAATCTAAATAGAGGCTCCTACTTCCTTCCTTAGAAAGCTCCTCACTTCATAAGTAGATACAGCAAAACCTGACATCTAAGCTTCCACTGGCATCAACTTTGAAGTGAAACTAAAACGAACCCATGTTGGCAGCTGAACAAAAAAGCATGATACGGTAGCACCTTGTTTCTGTCATTGTTTTCTGCCCAAAGATGGAACACTTAAGACCAGAGTCCCATTTAAGAATTCTCAACACTACACCTATTCTCTTTGAATTCCTAGCTCTCTGGATTTCCACACAATGGGCGTGTTAATTATTAATCTGAGCTCTGACTAAAGCTGGTTGGCAAGTTTGCTAATTGTTAACCAAGCTTCTATCTGCTGACAGATTTTTAAAAAAACATTACTTTTCTTTAAAAAAAATATACTCATGCCCACAAAGCAGATTTTAAACTATCAAATAATAAGACAGTAATATTGTTAGACAATATTCATGGGATACTTTGCACGAACCTGACACTCTTCTATGGGGCTTTGAAATATTCAACTACTGGCGCTTCAGCAAGCTTTGGACTCAGCTTACTCGCCTGAGTCAACTTGATTCTAGATTTTCTATGAATTCTAAATAAACTCCCAATTTTCTACTGAGATCTACTTTCTTGCCAATCTCATGTAACATCTATAGGTTCTACATCCTAGTCCTACACAGTTTACTTAGGCTGTTTATGCACACATATTCTTCTGTAGGCTCTCCCTCAGATAAAGTGAAAATTCCTCGGATAAAGTAAAATTTCTGCTCAAATTTGTATGTAGAAAAGTTATTTGGGGGCAGTTATATTCCCCCATTTTAGCCTGCTCAGAGAGGCAAAACCCTACCAGCTCTGCTGGCTTCTGAATGCTACAAAGGCCTTGGTGTAAGGAATATGTCCAGCTTCTACACAATACTTGCTTGGGGACTTTCTTATTTGAATTGTTCAGAAAAACAGGGTCTATAGGTAAGACTGCTGACAAAGAACAATCCCAGGGGAATCCATGTTTCAGGGACCCAAGACTCTTCTAGAATATTGGGAACAGAAGCCAGTGACATTAATAGAGGTAGGAATTTGGCACAAGCGGTTGGAGGGGGTGTAGGTGTAGGAGTGGGGCACAGAGAATCATGTAGCCAAGGTGTCCATGGCAGATTTCTATAACATAAGTCCATCTACAAAACTGGCAGGGAGCTCTCCGTATTCGATGTATCTAGAAGTAAGGATTTACCTGCACATACCTGTCTGTCTGTCCTAAAACCAATTGTCCAGGTATTCAACATGATGGGGGTGGGGGAAGAAGGGGAAAGTGAAGTTATGCAAGAGGGTTTTCCAAAGGGTATTAAATGGAACGTGAGTCCTGTGCCCTATGCCTCCCTCTTTGAGATTCCCAATACAAATTAACATCAAACGCTCTCAGAGTCCTGAGGTAAAGAGATCTGATTAATTTAGTTTAACCTAACATTTCCCAAGTATTTTGCCAAAGGACAATCTCAGTTTTAAGGAACATTTATTTAAAATCTTTTAAAAAAAGCATTCTTGAAAATGGTACTGACAAGGGTCTCTTATGAAACTGGCTGGGCCATAGAAAGAACCAATGACATTAACCCCAGTCATAATGTTTTCTAATAAGCTGAGCTTATATAGCATATTAAGTGAGGGAACAGAAACATGGATACTAAGCATGATCTGTCCTGCTAAATAATGGGAAAAGCAGATTAAACCTTGTGTGAGCAATGACTACTGGTCTTCTGTTAGTGATTGATAGCCTGACCTGCTGACTGAGTATCTCTAAGACAATGGCCAATGACTTCACAACAGAAATATGTTGTCTGTTTAGCACGTTTCTGTCTGGAGGCACAGGATAGGGAGACTACTATTTTTTCTTCACATGTGAACACAGTCATTGTTAAGTAGTCTCTGTTTCTTACCTGAAAGTGTTCTCGGTGTGTTTCAGTTTGTGGGTCATGAATTCTCCATTCTGTGACTTCACTTCTGTAAATCCCTTCTTTCCATCCAAGAAACTCTTCACTTCTTTGGGCTCTTTGTCCTTTTTAATCTTCTCATCTTTGATCTAGCCAACAGTACATATCAGGAAGAAACACAGTGATAAAAACCGTATTAGTTTGGGTGGGTATCACCAAATAAGACCCAGAATTACTAGGAAGCCAGAAAACTCAGAAGTAAAACAAACCACCGGAGAATGATGTGGTACAGCTAGGGTCAGAGGAAATTCTTAGAGTGTGAGCTATGGTCCTCCAGCCTCTGCGCAAAGACCTTGACCACAATTTAACGAAGTCAAGATCATCCCTGATTTCACTAGGGTTTTGTTTTCAAGAGCAGTGGAGGTGTTGCTGTTTGGAAACAATTATGTTCTGGGAATGCTGTGTAAGAGTAGTTGTTCATAGTTCTCATTGAAAGGGTGATCATTAGTGTGGCATTGATGGGAGAACGTCTAGGTTGGCTGAACTGGTTTTTTCTTGGATGAAGAGTGTGCCTTTGAAAAAGACACAAATGTGTTGAAGAAGAAAAAAGAAGAAACCTACCAAGTCAGCCAGATCTGCCAAGCCAATGTTGGCAGATTGCCGAGGAAGCTCACCCTTGTAATAAAATGAGTAAGTAGGGTCCCGAGGATAGAAGACAAATTACCCTACCTTTAGTGGGATGGCTCAGAGACCCACGGGCCATGTCTGTAGTCATCTAAACCACTACAGTTCAAATGGAATAGGAAAAACTTCAGGGTTTACCTTGACTTCCATTGCAGGTAATAGTTTAGTCTCCAGAAGTGGTTTTGTGATTGTTGGAGAGACAGAAGAAGGTGTTACATGGACAGCAGGTGTTCACTTTAATTTTTTGTGAGTTTTGTGTTATAAGTTCCTCATGGTAAATGAGACACATTACTTCAAAGTAAAATGAATTTACATAGCTTGCTGAGAGCTTAGATTACTTGTATCAGCTCATCCATTCTTAAAGGATGAGTGTGAAAACAGGGGAGGTTCATTATTGCTGTTTTCAAGACAACCAATGACAAAACACTGACGTTCTAGAGCAAGCAACAGAGGAAGGATAGGCATAAGAACTTAGGCCTTCAGGTGCTGTCCAGAATGGCCTCCTGATCACTCACCTCTTTCCAGCTATTCCTCAGATACTCTCTGAACACTTATTTCTAAAGTACATGTTTTACTAAGCATAGCACTTTTTTTTTTCTGTTTACTGATGAGCCTTGCGTAGTCCTTTGCCTGACTGCCTTCTTTGGATGTTATATGATTAAATTACCACAGATAGACTATTCACTGCCATGTTGCCCTAATCAGTTAAGACTTATATCTTTCTCCAAGGGGGATATACCTAGGCTATCCCTTGGACATGCTGAAAAAGAAGGCTGTTGTTCTGCCACTCTCTCTGAGAGCTCTGTCCGGAAGTCAGGAAATGAGTTTTGTTCCAGTGCTATCAACAGACTAGCTAAAATTAAGTCACCTAATTTTCTCTGGGATGTTGGCTCCATATACATAAGAGAGGTTGGATCAGAGGATTCCTTCCTGATCCTTCACCCTCTCATTTCCCTCTTGGCTCCTGATTTGTTGTGAGAGGCTACAGAGAAGAGAGGGAAGCTCTGACCTGTCCTGCAGCTTGACTGCAGCTCTCTGGTGGCTGTTCTCACCCAATAAGAAATCAATGTCATTGACAGGCAGGAATAGGCAATGCCTATTCTCATCTTGAGCTACCATTGCTGGATATTGCCCTAGATACCAGGGACTGAAGTTTGTATCCTGGTTAAGAAGTATCTGGGGATACAAATTTGGGAGCTAAAGGGTGTCCCATTTCAGGGGACCCACAAAACACACTCTGAGTCAAATCTCATGGTTTGTGGAGCACTGTGCAAGGCAAAAATGCCCTTTAACTCATTTCTCTTATTTTGGAATCAAGAGATAATTCCATTCTCCCCAAATGCATTACCTGATTTGTTGACCAAAAATGTGTATAAAATAGGTTTGTAAAACAATACATGTCTAAGAGAAGAAAAATACCTCCCCCTGCCTCTTTTGCAAGCTCTGCCTTTATTGGCAAAGGTTATAGAGGGTGGTGTGCTTATAGTCTCTTTGGAAGACTTTCTTAGGAAAATTCCCAGTGAAATAATGATTTGGGATTGCAAATTATTTTCTCTTTCTGGGAAATAAATAAATAAACAAACAAATAAATAAGTAAATTCATTCCATAGTGCCTTTAAATTTAAGGAGCATAGTGGATTGGATTCAATTGCAGATTCAACCTAAACTCATGAGATTCTGAGAGAAAAGCATTGGATCTTCTAGGTCAGAAGGTAACCGTGAAGAAAATCTGGGGATGGGTTCATAGGTAGCTGAGTACTCTGAAGAGTTAATGTGCTTCACATTCAGATAATATTAGCATATGAAAGGCTCTGGTCAAATGTGACATTTGGATGAAATTCTGTATATTGGGGGTATCCAAAGGGATAACACACAGGTGTAGGTGGGTGGAGGTGAGAATTCAACTGACATGCCCTCGTGCCAGAGAGACACTCAAAAGGTCAAGTGATCAAGGCAAGAAGACTGAGCTGTCAGCCTCTGTAGAATGGTGCTTTGCATTATTTGATTTCAGAAGACTGACAAGAATTCATCCAAGTTATAGTATTTCAAATCAGGTCCAGCACATTTTTGTTAGACTCAGAAGCCTCAATTCCTGTTTTGGGTCCAATGTCTGTCACATGGATGTCTTTGCTACTGAGGGTTTGGTTTGTGAACGACATACACAGACCTTACCAGTAAGCTTGGACTCTATCCCAGACCTACCGAGTCAGATTCTGCATTTCATAAGATTCCAGGGATTTGTATGCACACCTATGTTTGGGGAACTTTGGTGTATGACAGGAATATCGGTTTCCATATCATATGAACAACTCTGCTGTAAGCTGGTTTTCTGTTAGAGGCCAGGAAAAGAAAAAAAAAAAAAAAAAAAGGAAAAAAAAGAAAAGAGTTCCAGGGTGAAGAACTAAAAAGAGGCATTTTATAGTTAGAGAGGAGAAAAAGAAAGCTAAGTTAACGTTTCAAGGCTGGTGATGTTCTGTGATCCATCACCACAACAGCCTAAACTTATGGGGGCACGTGAGGGTAGAGAGAGTTTTCTAGAGAGTACTGGGGTGACTTTGAAACATGTTTGATCATCTCAGTGATATTTGTGTTTACCCACATAGCTCTCCTTGAAAGGACATTTTTTTATATTTTTTGTTTTTTTTTTTTTTTTTAACAAAAAGAAAAAAAAAGGAGGAGGGTTTTGAAATGGCTAAATTCAGGTAAAAGAAATCTGCAGTTGTTTACATATTAAAGTAACATCAACCAGCAGTCCAACCAGTCACAACCAGGATTTACGCGTGAAAACATTGTTAAAAGCAAGGAATGCCAGATTTTTTTTTTTTAATGACCTGGCGAGTGCAAATAAGCCATCTGGCTTATGTAAATAAAAAAAGAGGCCAAAAGTTTTGGGACTCTAGAATGGGGTGTAGGACAAACTGAGAAAGGGGCAGGTCTGAGATGGTTATACCGCCGACATTATTGGACTGGGGTTTCCTCTGGACAGAGGCAGAGGGATGATTTGGGTGGCCACTCATGAATCCTTTCTTGCTCACAGGCACAACATAGCAGACATAAATGTTCTGGTGATTAAAAAAACTAAGTCACACTTAGTAAAGTTAATAAATTTTAGAATACAGTGAGCCTGCGAGTGAACATGTTGTTCGCGTCAATCTTCAGCGTAGACCTGTCTACGCCGCGGTCTGAGTTCGAGAGCCCCCAGCTCAGCTCCTGGCTGATGAGCTCAGAGCCTGAGCCTGATTCCACGTTCTGCGTGTATCCCCTCTCTCTCTGCCTCCCCAATACTCTGTCTCTCTCTGTCCCAAAATAAATAAACATTGAAAAAAAAATTAAAAAAAAAAATAATAAATTTTAAATACAGAATCCACACAGCGCTCTTTCAGCTTCTCCTCCCCCACACAGACTTAATCGCTGAATTCTGACTTTATGCCCTCTTCCTTCTGTGAAGATATTCCCCACAAAACACCAGCTCGACAGAGGAGCCCACGTGGCCCATTTCTGTTTTAAGTTTCAAGTAACTTTCACTTTTTTTTTTGTTTTTAGATGAATCTGTAGGTGTTGTTCTGCCAGAAAATGAGAACAGCGCTTCCCACCATATTCAACCATTTCCTTAGCTGCCTCATTGGAGCCAAATTCAGCTTCCTAGTTCTTAGCATTTCTGCTTCCACCTTCCTTTAGATGGGCGGATTCATGCATTCAGTTTTTACTCCCAAGCCACCACAAGGTCTATGAGAAACAGGAAGGTACACACATCTTAACCCAAATAAATATAACATGACCTAGGGGTTCTTATATTTTCTGTGAGTCTTATGAAAAAAAGCATTTAAGCAAATAACCACCTCTCATGTAATTTTCTAAATATGGGTTTTTCTGTTTCTTGATAGATGCCATAATGGGCAGAGAAGTACAGCAAGAGTCCATTGGAGCTGGCCCTCTAGAATGACAGCTCAGTTCCATGGGCAAAGAAATTCAAATCTTCCTCCCCTTGATGATTTCCTTCTACCACGTTTAAGTACTTTGAACTTACTAGATGCTGTCACAATTTTTAGGATTACTTGGGGCTAACATAAACACAATGGTTAAGACGAGGTCAGGCTTTCTGATGTGGCGTTTTGATTCTGTCGGGGGTAATGACATCCTCTGTGCGGCAGCCTCTGCTCCACTGACTCGTTTACTTACCTACAGTCAAACACCCTGGCACCAGCTCCTGTGTGTGCCTCAGAAATGCAATGCAGAACATTTTGCCAGACTTTTCTTTTGAAAACCAAATACCACCTTCAGTGCATCAAATGTGTTAACTGAGACGTGGGGGGGTGTTTTTCCTTTGGAAAGTTAAATCGTTAATCGAAGCCAGTTGGAAATATTCCATAATTGAAATGAAAGTAGGATGGTTCAAGGAGAAAACAATACACATAGAGGTGGAGAAAGTGGGAAAAACTGATCAGAGCAGTGTTTTTCAAGCTTTCTGTGACTCACAGGAAGGACAATTTAAATCATGATGTAATACTGCTTAGAATGCCCTCTGATATCTTCTGTTTGATTTCATTTTTTTAAAATGCCCATTGACACATTCAATTACTTTTGAGATGTTCGAAGTTGATGTTACCATTCAATGAATCATGAAGTCAAGCCATAGCTTGAAAAACACTGGATCACAGGTTATAGTTTTGAGATCAGCAGACATGAAATGTCATGCAACACTGCTCTCGGTTGCTTCATGATTAGGTCATTTGTCAATAATATTTACCTCTTTTTTGAAGGTAGGCTTGTCTTCTTGGGACTTTTCTCTTTTAGCTTGTGCTTTGGCCCCCTTTTCTTCTTCCTTTTTATGTTCAAGAGTGGCAAGGTCACTCGTTTAAAAGAAGCCCTTTCTGGCTTACAAGAGTGAGAGGGTGCTCAGGTCACTTTGCTCGTGCCTTGCGATTTTGCTGACTCAGTGCTCACATAACCCTTGGTGTCAGTGATTCTAAACAGCAACGTGGGATGGTTTCTTTCCACCAAAGTTTTTTCTCGTGTGCCTGCCAGTGTGCGCCCTGGACCCTAGCGTGACCTGGTGGTCCTTATGCGTGTTTACAAACCTCGTGTGTGGTTTGGTGCATCTCGTTTCTGATTGTCCCAAATGTAGCTGTGGTCACGAGCCCCGTGTGATGAGCAGGAGTGAAAGACAACTTCAGCACCATGCAGACTTAGTGATGGGGAGTTCTCTCTGCAGAGGTGAATGTGCAAGCATCTCTTTTTTCTTTCTTTCTTTTGTGTGCGTGTGTGGTAGGGGTAGGCAGGGATGCAGGTGGTGGTTAGGTACAGTGCTTTCAATGCAGGCTTGCAGACAGAAAAACATCTTTCACGGTTTGCAAACATTCCCCTCGCCCCCCTTTCCACCCTTCTCAGGCAACATGAATTTATTTGTGTCATCCAGATGGCAAAAGCAGTAAAATGTATGCCCTTAATTACCAGTCAGTTATAAACTGATACCACCCCAGATGAATGGCTTTCTGCAAGTCCACATTAAGTTCAGGTCTACATGATGGCAAATCATGGTTTTGACATATTTTTAATGAAAGTTCCAAATTGGCTCCTTTCCCTCCTTCACTGCCAGCTGATTTCAAGGGGGTTATTTTTGCCTTCTCAAGATGAAATTTCTGACTGTGATTCTTTATGTCACCTTTCCCACCCCAATTTTTAAAATATAATTTTTAATTAAATGCCAAACACGTGGGTATGGGGAGGAGTTATGGTCCTCTTGCCTCATGTAGACCTATGGAGAGAGGTAAGTTGTTAATAGGAATGAATTTAGATGCAGGTGCAGAATTAGAAGTCAACACAGCACTGCCACATTTATCATCTTTGGGTTAGTTCATTTTTCTGGTATTTGCAACTAGCAAGCACAGAGCAATTAATTTCTCTCTGGCTGGTAAATTTGGTTCATTGAATATTTAACCATCGATCAATTGCTTTGTGCTCACCTATTGCTATGGCCGAAAAAAATGAACGGCTTGCCAAACGGGCAAGCACGCGGGGCTGCAGGAACGTGCCTCGGTCCCAAGTCTGACGTGCATTACATTTCTCGTAAGTCACAGGCATCACACGTTTGGTGCAAAATGTTTACTGTACCTGTTTCTTTTGGACAGCTGTCTGAAGTTTATCTTCTTGTACTTTCTTTTCATTTACCCGTTTCCCTTCTATTTTCTCGTCTACCTTTTCCCCTTTCTGCTTTTTCTCTTGCATTTCTCTTCTGTTCTCTTCTAGCTGCTGGCGTTTTTGCTCTTCTAGCTTAGCTTTCTGTTCTTCCTCCGCCTTTGCCCGCTGCCTCTCCTCCTCTGCTCTTCTCTCTTCCTCCTTAGCCCTCTCCCTCTCGGCCGCCTCCCTCCTTTCTCTCTCTTGGGCAGCTGCTCTTTCTTCTGCTTCAATTCTTGCTTTCTCCTCCGCTACCCTTTGTTCTTCCTCAGCTTTCATTCTTTCTCTTTCTTCTGCTTCCAGCCTGGCCCTCTCTGCCTCGGCTCTCTCCTTTTCTTCCCTCTCCCTCCTTTCACGATGGGCGGCCTCTTCTGACCCCTGCTCCCCCTCCCCCTCTGTTTGAGGCTCTTCTGCACTGGTCTGCCCAGTTGTCAACGGCATTGCCACGGTTTCTGTTGTTCTGTCTTCTACCGGCCCCTCTACCTGATTTTCTTCAGGGCTCCCCTGCTTTGGCTTCTCTTCCTCCTCTTCCTCCTTTTCCTTTTCTTCCTTCTTTTTCTCCTCAGTGTCCCTCCAGTCATTCTTCTGATAGGACTTTGTGACTATTTCTGTCTCCTCTAGCTCGTATCTTTCTTGGCGACGGTCACTTTTTTCTTCCTTCTCCGCAGCTTCGTTTTCGGCGGTGTCGTTCTGTGTTCTTCTGCTCGGTAGCGACAAGCCTGCGTCTGTGATGGTTGGGTCGAACTCCTTCTGCCGTTCCAGTGCTTCCTGAAGGCGTTTTTGGCGTCTTTCCTCCCGCCGAGCCAGGCGCTCCAGGAACGCGGCCTCGTCATCACCCTCCACCTGGGTGTTTGAGGTGGTTGTCTTGACCTCCTCATCGGCCACACTGTACAAGAGAAACAAGACAGCTTGGGTCAGCTGGTCAGCTGGATTCTCGTAGCCTGACCCACACCGGAACAGATGCTCGTGGTACCAGGTGCGCGCGCACCCAGGATATCCCTTCGGATAGTATCCTAACAGTACGTGCCTGCCGGGCTTTCAGCGGACAGCACGTGAGTGCCTTTGCCCTTAGTCCTTCTCTGGCCACTGGAGTCTACTCTACTATGCCAGCCGTCAAGCGAAAATGGATGAGCATTAGTGTATAAATACCTCGGCTCCCTCACCTCTTGAGTTGAATAACTGTGAGGTGCCTTGTTGCACGGGATCTCTGAGTCTCCCAGGGGAGTTGAGCTCCAGATCCCAGCAGCGGTAACTTGCTTGGCAATGAAACCTTTATTCGGTTGCTTTTCCTTCCCTGTTTCACTTTCCCACACTGCCGCCAGTGTTTCCTGGGATCATTTCACAAATGAACTGCCTGTGTTGAAATCTTTTTGCTCCAGACTCTGCTTCCTGGACAACTCAAACTAAGACAAGGACCAAACTGAGAAATGAGGGAATTCTTGTAGTATCACATAGTATTTCCACATATTACCAAGTCATCTAGAATTCCTGAGCTGGATCTGTGGGGCATAAGGCATTTGGAAAGGAAGCAGGTGTACCTTACAGTGTGGGGATGCTATACTAATGCCAGTGACCCCCATGGCAGGGACATCTAACCGTCCACCACAATTCATGCTCCTCCTTTCACTGTCACGGGGAGGTGACTACCAGTCAAGGGTTATATTTCTTGCCCTCCACTCTTCCTTGCATCTAGGTGGAACCATGTGACCAATAATTTCCAATTGAGTGTCAGCATAAGTGATATGTCTAGACCAAGACTATTAAGCAGCAGAACCACATCCTCTCCCATCTCTGTCTGACGACTTGATCAGAAAAACCTCAAAGCCCCAGGAGTAGACAGAGTCACAAAAGGAAAGCTAGTTGGTGATCAGTTCTATTTACTACTCAGAAAAACCCACATTGGACTCATTTATGTTGCTGCATTAAATTAATAAAATTTGGGGCTCATTGTTATGGTGGCTGATATTACCCTAATACATACACCATCTAAATTCTTTGTCAAGATTTCCATGAACAAAGGGTCTCTTGCCCTTCTTCTCTATAGTTGATAAAAAATAGTTACATTTGATGTTTGCTAAAAAAGAAAAGAAAATCTCAAAAAACCAGACTGTACCATATCCATCACCGCACTCATTGTTACAGTTCAAGCCAGGGCTGTTGGTCTCCACTGGCAGGAAACAGCCAGTTATGTGATATCAGAAATTGTGACCAGAGTTGGAAGAGTATGTCTTGCCATGTTTAGAAACTCCATTAAATTTCATGGTTCATACTGAACTGGGCCCTTCTGAAGTTCAAGTCCACTTAATTTTGAAAAAAAAAAAAAAAAAACACATTTCACATTTAACAGTAAGAAATGGCAGAGTAAAGGCTGGATTTTAAACTTTCTTGGCTTTAACCGCTGCTGTAGGACACTGTCTACATGAATTAGACATATATGCATTAAATTTCCCTAAAAATACAAACAGTTTAGAATTTAAGGGCAAAATCTACATGTAAGGAACTTTGGATCAACTGAATTCAAACGATTTTTAAAAGGTACTGCAAATTCCGAAGTGTCAGCTAGATGAAAGTACTCTTGAGTTAAGAGACGAACAGATTCTACTGGATCTTTCTTTGCCTATTTGCAAATCACAACAGCGACCGTCAGTAGAAGTTAAGTACCACTCAGGGTTGCTCAGCCCCAAGGAGAACACTAATTCTTCTTGTGGATAATTAATATGTCAGAGATGAATGATAGGTTCTCAGACCTGGATGTACTTTAATGAAAAAGAAGGATTTGTAAATCGATCAACAGCATGAAATAACTACTACTAGTAAATGAAAAAAGAAGAGAAGCCCAAGTAGAAGGAAGATTTTAAAAGCAAGAACACGACTAGTAACTAGTAACTTTTAAGCCACTGTTGATCACTCACTAATAACCAGATTCAGGAAGGGGCCTCAAAATGCCATTTAAAAACTTTTTCTTTCCCTTCCCCTTCAGTTTGAGGATAGAAAAGGCAGCGATGACTATGTAGGCCTCCTCTGTAAAGCTCTGATACCATTTTCCTGATAATAGTTAAAATTAGGTGCTTATCGTATGCAAGGCACTGTGTGTTTTATGTGTATTATAATCTCACTTAAATTTAACAACATTCCTAAGAGAAAGGTATGATTTTCATGTCTGTTTAACAGGGAAAGGCCAAGGTGGAATTCAGAGCCAGGCAGCGAACATACCCACAACCCCTTTGCTGTATTTCCTCCCTAATTAGGAGCTTCTTACCAAGAAACAAGGTCTCTGCCTCTCCACCTAACTGGTAGGTTTCCTTATTGAATCCATTGTGCTTGACAGAATTTAAGACTTTCAGAAATCCATGTACCTGCTCATATTTAGGGTAAAGAGGTCAGACCTGTTTTCCTTCAGATTTTCTATATAGATGGGCTTAAAGGAACTGTATTATTAAAATTAAAATTAATTTTTCTCTCTATCCCGACCCCAAAATATTCTCATCTTTTTTTTTTTTTTGCCTTGGGGCATATAAATTACATATATTAGCAAGTGGCGTAATGAACCAGGTGACCTTATATGTGCAAACCTGTAAAGATCCATTTGGAAGAAGTTGAACCTAGTAAGGGTTCTCCACTGTTTTGGTCACCACCAAGGCCTGTATAGGAAAAAACGTGCTAGTAAACTCGTAAGCTTTTTCGAATAATTACATTACATTAAGTAGGATTCTGCACCTTGCTGAATATCGTAGTGATCAGAGAATACTGATTCAGGCTGTATATCAGGAAAAATAAGACATTTGCAAGTCATGTCTACTTTAAAAATTCAAGTTCTATTTGCTACTGGTAGGCACAAAGGACTAGAAAGCTAATAAATCTTCAGTTCAAAACAGGTATCGATACCCTAAAGAATAAATGTAAATAGTCTTCCTTATTTAAAGATGTAGCCCATTGTATTTAGTAAATAAAAAGATTGCTAAATTATAAAATAAAATAAAACACTTCAATTGGGGTGTGTTTAGGGGATGGGATAGGGGAAGAGAAAGGAGCAGTGGTGTCTGAATGTCCACATCAGTTTGACTGTCCAATCTGATTAGGTGCCTACAATAACCAAAAAATGACTGAGCAAGTTAGACTGGAAAAGAGTGGAGCTGGGCTGAGAAGGGAATGCTTTGCCCAACACGTTCCATTCATCTTGCAGGCTAAGAAGTACCTTAGACATTCTCCATTCCGAAGAGGACAGTACCTGTTCTGGGCATTAACCTCCACCTGGTCGGTCACCTGTCCCAAGGATTCTTCCTCTTGCTTCTGCCGCAGCCTCTCCTGCCGGGCACGGCGGCGCCGCTCCCGGGCGGCCTCCTCCTCATCGTCGTCGTTCCTCTGGTAGGCGATCCTGCAACATCGTGAAGACAACCTCTTGAGTGCGCCAGCTGCTGACCATCTCAATGCTTCTTTGCAGGATCAGCCCTGAGTCCTTTCCTGGGCTTGACCACTGACTGAACCACAGAGCTCTAAATGGATCGTTCCGTTCCATAGACACTTGATCAGAATGGCTTTCAAACTTTTAAGTATCTGAAAAGCAGGAGTCCGCTAGCTAGAGGACAATTTACAATGATCAAATGACAGCTTAAACTGAAAAAATCTACACAAAAGTGGGCTGTGCAGGAAACTGTGGGGTAGCATATTTAGATTTCTTCATTAAGCTCATTACTAGCCTTTTAAGATTTAGGAGCAGAAATCCAAAGCACTGAACCAAAAATAATCAAAACACTTATTGAAAAGATTCAGGATGTTGTATGAATTATTTGTGTAGATACTGTCACAAAGAACAGAAAAGAGTCAAGTTATCAAACCCATATTTTGGCATTAATAAGCCCAAACTGCAAATTAAAATCCAGAGTAGGGTACTCTCTTTGCTTGGATTTTATTTTTTCCTTTCAGTTCCTTTTCAATGGAGAAGGAAGGCGTTATTGACAACTGACAGGATGGCTTCAAAGTCAGTGTGGCTCCCTAAGAGTCCTCCTCCTTTGCTCTAAAACATGCATTAGAATTCTACCAGCCATATGGTGGGCACATCATGGTAGCTCACAGGTGTACACATAGATAGAAACCTAAGGGCTGAGGTGGGCAGAAAAGGCACGGAGAGCTTTGCACACATAGATGTTAGGGAAATTATACAATCACTATCACTATGTTACATCCATTTCTGTTAATACTTCTTTCTTCCCAAATAAAGAACCGGAGCTGGGGAACTACAGATGTCCAAACTCAAGAGGAAATGACCCGTATGGTCACCTTGGCTACTTGTGAGGGAGTAACACATACTGAGATACAGAGTGCCAGGAAGGCAGGGGTAGGCCGGCTGGCCCAGGGCCAAGGTGGCCAGACGGGTCCTTGGGTTGGGATGAAGCTGCATTGAGCAGTGGGCTACTTTTTATACTAGGGAGTTAAAATGCTCTTGTTACAATGTTACTTACATATCTACACATAGAAATCCAGATATGTAAACATTTCATGCTTATAATTCTTATACAATGACACACCTAAAATAATTTACAAATGGAAGAAAATAAAACAGCAGAACCATATGATTTGTACCAACAATACAAACCTACTATAACTGATGACGGTTTGCTTACGTAAGATTACAAACGAGACATTTTAAGGCCTAGATCCAGCACTTTATTTCATCGTTTCTATCTTTTGACTTCAATAATATGAATGCTATGGGGGTGCCTGGGTGGTTCAGTTGGTTAAACGTCCAACTCTCAGTTTCAGCTCAGGTCATGATCTCACAGTTTTGGGAGTTCGAGCCATGCCTTGGACTCTGCACTGACAGAACAGAAACTGCTTGGGATTCCCTCTCTCTCTCTCTCTCTCTCTCTCTCTCTCTCTCTCTGCCCTTCCCCTGCTCATGCTGTCTCTGTCTCTCTCAAAATAAGTAAATAAACTTAAAAAAAAAAACATGAATGCTATGAATGTTTTTCACCTAAAAAAAACAAGATTAACAATTCCAAAGTTTGGTTGGTTTGTCCTTTGTTACTGCAGAAAATCTGACTTCATACTTACTAAAATCTGCTGGTGTGCAATATTCAAATGCCAATACAAATAAAATGTCACAGTAATTCTATGAAACTGACTGGTTTATTTCTATAGATATGGAGCGAAGGGTGATGTGATGTAGTTGAAAGATGACTAGGGTAGGACTCAGCAAACCTGGTTTCTAGAACTGGTCTCCTACTAGCTTGTGGCCCTTTAACCTGAGTTAAACTCCCTCGCCTGTGAGTGTGTGACAATCAGATGAAATCTGGACATGTCACTGTAAGGCGTTCTACAGTGCAGTATTTTGTTGTTACTGGGGAAGTTCAGCTGAGGAGCCGCTTTGTGAGGAAAGATGAGTTCAATTTTAGACTTGTTGAATTTGAGGTGACAGCATGACATGAATCGAATGTTCCTTTCTAATTCAATCACATTGTAGTTTGCAGTCAGAAGCCCTTCCCAGTGGTTTGGCTTCGGTCTTCAGATTCTTGGCCTAATATTCCTTTGGCTTTCTCAGTAGACAGCTTTAACCACAGCAGGGAGAATGAGTCCTTAATAAGTGCTTCCCAAGCTAATCAAACAGAAAGGCTTGGTTTGCTCTTCTGCATTTGTCCATCAGCCGTGAGGTCTTGGCTACTACTTGGGGCCTTTCTTTTCCAAAACAAGCAAGAGACATATAAGCCCCATCTGAGACATCCTGTGCTGGAAACAAGCCCCCTCACCCCTACTTCTCCTAAATGGAACCTCGCGTGAAGCCCTCAACTTCCCACTCTACTTGAACAATTTGAGATGTGACTGCCTTCCTCCTCCGGCCTCCCCAACGTGCTCCATGGCTGGAAGCTGCTGGCTTGCACCTCTGGCGTGAACTACATTTGCCATCTCTCCGGGCCAGGCCACACTCAACCTTTCTTCGGCTTGGATTTCTCCTCGGAGGAGTGGCCTGACAACTGGACCACCCTAGGTCTCTTCTAGCTCTTCTCGCTTGGTACTCTTGGTACCCCACCTTGGTAGCTCCTTGCCTGGCATCCACAGTTACCAGGGCTAGATTTTTAAGGGTCTGTTATGAGCACTAATAAAGAAACATACTAAAGTCGTTTTCAAAGTTAAAAACAAACGAGGAGCCAAAATGCTTTCCTGGCATTTTAAATCACAACATTCCCTGTTGCTGGCTTAGTCACAGACCATATGACTATTTACTAAACTTTATCAGTAAAGTTTATTAATTTTTTACTATTGTTAGTAAAGTTTATTAAACTTATTGAAGTTTGTTAATTTATTTCGAGAGAGACAGAGACAGCATGAGCAGGGGAGGGGCAGCAAGAGAGGGAGAGAAAGAGAATGCCAAGCAGGCTCCATGCTGCCAGCGTAGAGCCTGATGCGGGGTGTGAACCTGTGAAGCCGTGAGTTCACGACCTGAGCCAAAACCAAGAGTCAGACACTTAACTGACGGAGCCCTTCGGGCACACCTAACCACTTGACTTTATAAGTCAAGTGTGCCAATGACTGGGTATGTGTGGAAATTCCTCAACTCTGAGACTCCCTCCATGAGCCTCAGTAGTTTCTTAGCTTTTAGGCCTCTCTCACAGCAGCTTACCCTTCACACTAGTACCACAGGTTTATTGCTTTTCTTTCAAAACGGACAACTTAATTTGTTTCATTTTTTTCGGATTCTAAAAGTAACATACATTTCTTATTTGCTTCAACCAGACAAGAGCAGATGTATAAAAGAGAAAGTGAAAATCAGCTCCCTTATCACACCTTACCTGGTATGTCCATATCAGACATGGGCACCAATGATATCCGATGTATTTTACCAGACATCTTGTTATGCACACACAGATACCTTTACTGTTAACGAAGTGGGATTGTGTGATACCTATCATTTCGTAAATGGTTTCTTTACTTTATTTGTGACTGTTTTCAACACATTAGCCAAATATAATTTTTAATAGCAACACAGTACTCTATGTATAGATGTACATAGTAGTTACATGGATGTAACTATAATATATCCTATTATCTACAGATGGACAGTTAAGATTTTTCCAACTTTATGGTCTTATTAATGAGGCTGCAAAGGACATCATTCTAGATATACTTTGTCACTTGTTCAACAATTTATCCAGGAAGAATTCTTAGAAGCTAGCATTTCAGAATTTAAGAGGATCCTGATTTATATACTGAGATAAAAACAAAATGTTAACATTTCTCATTTCCCACACACCAGATTTAAACATATTTGAAATGCTGCTGACTAGTAAAAATCATATCTAACTGCCCACTGGATTGTAATAAAAGGGTACCAATCCCTTTGTTCCTTCTGTGAAACCTCACCAGATGCCGGCACTGACCAGTCTAATGGTGTTCTGCACTCTGCAGAGACAACCACCGTTCCCAGATGTCTTGGGAATGTGGGACTCATGATTCCCCTGAATCATCTGAGAACGATTAAACTATGTTTACTGGAGATTTAACCATTTTGTTGAAATCCATTCTTCTTTAAAAAATTTTTTTTAATGTTTGTTTTTGAGAGAGAGAGAGAGAGAGAGAGAGAGAGAGGGAGAGAGAGAGAGACAGAGACAGAGACAGAGACACAGAATCCAAAGCAGGCTCCAGGCTCTGAGCTGTCAGCACACAGCCTGACACGGGGCTCGAACTCACAGACTGTGAGACCATGACCTGAACCAAAGTCGGATGCTTAACCAACTGAGCCACCCAGGCGACCCCGATCTATTCTTCTAAAATACTGGTAATTCGCAAATGATAGCTAAGGCACCTCTATTAAGTAAAAATTTCTGATTGGCCAGCATACATGATTTCCACGCTGGGTGGAAGCAGGTTTACTCTGGAGTACTATGCTTTGTTTCTTGCTAACTACCTTTGCTCATCTCTTGGAAAGCACCTCGTGAAAATATGATCGGCTCTGCTGCAGGAAGGCCAGTGCTGCTGGTAGCAAAATGGCTCATCAAATATTTGGAAAGGAGTGTGTGTGTGTGTGTGTGTGTGTGTGTGTGTGAATAAGTGTTAAAAAATCTCAGAAGTCCATAAAAATTACATGATGTTATTTGATTGTGTCAGTGGTATGAAAAAAGTAGAGAGGGCTGGCTTTTCTTTCATTCCCAGAACCACCAGCTTAAAGGCTCTGGTGTTAAAAGAAAAAACAGGATTCTGAAGTGGGAAAACTTTCTTGGAATGCTGTGGCTTTCGCACCAAAGACGTTTTAAGTTTTTACCGCTAGAGCTCAAGAGCCTCAGTATATCCAAGTAACAAGATAATCATGTTACATGCTGTGCCTTTTAGACAGAAAGTGCAAACAAAGAGAAGTACTGAAGAATGGCACATAAGGAAATCACT